CATTCTACTCCCTTCTATGGCTCCACTCATCATTCCTGTGATTTTCCAAACCAAAATACCCTGAACTGGTCACCATTTTGGTATATTTGTTGTCTTTCTTTTTGTATCCTCAGCATTTAACATAGTGCCTGACACACTATAAACACTTAATAAATTTTTCTTCCTTCCTTCCCTCCTTCCTCTTCCTTAATTTTTTCCTCCTTTCCTTCCCTCCTTTAATTCCTTCCCTCCTTTAATCCTTCCCTCCTTTCCCTTCCTTCCTCCCTCCCTCCTCCCTCCCTTCCTTCCTCCCTCCCTCCCTCCCTCCCTCCCTCCCTTCCTTCCTTCCTTCCTTCCTTCCTTCCTTCCTTCCTTCCTTCCTTCCTTCCTTCCTTCCTTCCTTCCTTCCATCCATAGTTCTAGAACTGAAAGGGATCTCAGAAGCTGTGTTGTCCAACTCATTTTTTTTTTCTGATGAGGAAACAGACCCAGAGAAGTTGCCTGATGCATAAAAGTGATATACTTCAGAGACAGGATTTGAACCCTGGTCTTCTGACTCCAGTTAGTGCTACTGGAGGCACTAAGGTTTTACACTGGTTGGTTTTGATAAATTTTGAGCATCCTACCCTCCTCTTCTCCCGCTTTTGTTCCAAGCTAACAGTTTAAGCATGTGGAAATATTTGAGTCATTCTGTAGATTAGGAAAAAATGATGGCTTTTCTCCCATATGGCATTTATCTTCTCCAGTGAGGAAAGATAATTTAGGAGTGGCAGGACTATGAGTGAGTTGTCCCAGCTCTTCCCATGGAGTGAAGATTAATGCCATAAGAAATCAGTTATCATGTATCTTTTTAATAAATCATATACTTATAGATGTGATGGAACATAGATTTTGATCTGGAAGGGAACTCAGAGATCAACTAAGTCAATCTCCTTCATTTTATAGATGGGGTAATTGAGGCCCAAATAGGTTAAGTGCTTTGCCCTAGGTCATCCTATAATAAGTGACACAGCAAAGATTCTCTGCCCCCCTTCATCACCTTTGAGGTGATACTTGGGAAGACAGAGTATGCTTAGCATGGGTGAGGAATGTGTCTTTCAACTTTCATTTTTATTTCTGAAAAAGACCCATTGGTTATGCAGCGCCAAATATCAGTTTAAAACTTGGGATAGAATGTGACATGATAAAATATCATAACTTTTTATGTAATGTAGCACTATTAATCCTGAAACCTTTTCAAAGTTTTCGAAACCACACATTTAAAAAACTACAGCTTCATTTTGAAAGGAGCGACTCAAAGTTTATGGTCACATAAGAGACAGTGAAATGAAAATTTTAATCTACGGGTATGGTAAAATGCTTATTGCTAGATTTAGGGTAAATGTTTAACATTGTGCACAGGGATTTGGTGGTATTAATCATAATGGGGTTTGCTTGGCTAAATCTCCCTGCACTGAAAGTATAATTCCTAATAGAGAGCACATTAAGTCTCTTTGACTTGGGAAAGGCATCAGTGGGTTTCACCAATGCTTTAGCTTTGGCACGATATACTGTTTTTTTGGCTTTAATTGATTTACTGTGGCTCCTAACTCTGAATATCTATATCCCCAATGTACCTAGTTCTGAAATAAAAATTAAAGTTGGAAGGTATTGGAATGGGAGGAAGGGGCCACTTTAATTACCTCAGGGAATCACCTAACCAATTTTCAGCTTTCTCATTGGTGTCCTTGGAAGAAGGAGAATGGGGAAGAAATTTAAGGAAGAAAACCAAGGAACTTTCCAGAAGCCAGGAAGAAACAAGTAGAAAAAGTAAAAGGAGTGCAAGACAAATCTTAAAAAAATGGAGCTTCAAAGGATGCTTTGAAATTGGAAAATAGTTTTATTCGATTGCAGAATGCATTGATGATGCTATGAAAAGTTGGACGTAAATACCTTTAGTTAACAATTTTAATAGAAACAACCATGAAACCCTTTCCCCATCTTTTTTTAATCTGTAGCTATTCTAGTCAACATCCCTAAACTAAATGGAACGCACTATTTTAGTCACAGGTGATACATATCTTAACAACTAGAGTCTCAATGCTAATATAAATTGAGAAGAATTAAGAGTTGGCACCATTTGTATACATTAATACACTCTAACATCTATCAGTCTAGGGACTGAATGTTCTTTGCATATTTGTTCATTTTGTTAAAAGAGATTTCTTCAGATCCTTAAAAGTCCAGATTGCCAGGATGGGAAAGATTGGAGACAATAGAGAAGTAGCTTTCCATTGGCCTCTCACACCCCATCTCACAGCTGCACAGGCACAGACTCTTCAGCCCAGGGGAGAAAGCATTTCCCCCCCACCAAACAGAAAACACCCGGAAATTCTGAGCAGTGTCAGGGTAGCTGAAAGGGAGCTTGATCTCTGAGCGGCCTTTGGACAGCCGAAAGTGTCCTCTGAAGATGAAACAGTAAGTTTCATCTGTGGACAGTACACAGTGAATGGAGCAGTGCCGAGGAGTGCGTCTGAGTGAAGAATGGCTTGGCAAATAAACATTTAAAGCATCTACGTGGACTGAGACCGGCTCTAGAGCTCTTTGACTTGAGGGCTGTCTCTGCGTTTTACCCTGGTTTTTCTCCCACACACTAATGCGGATACGCACAAGGTCATTTGCAGACGATCCTGCGTGTGGTGTCTCGAAGTGTGTGTATAACGAAGTGTGTATAACGGTAAAATAGGAAGGGAAGCTCAGGGCTCAGGAGCCTGGTTCAGCTCTCTTAGCCGATCAGGCAGAGTATTAATAAGGATGCTGTGACCCTCGGTCACTTTTGTTCCACCAAGAGTCCAAGCTACGCAAAGTGTTAGAGGGCCAATCCCGCAATTCCCCGGGGCTGAATTTGAGGATGACTTGATGCGCGCGCATAGGGTGGAGGGTCTGCAGCTGGGAAGGCTGGAAGAGGAAGAACTACTCTGACCGAAGTGTATTTCTGCCAATTCCTGGGGAGTCTTGGGGATGAGGAGGAGGGCATTGATTCCACTTTCCCTGGAATTAGAATCCCAGGATCAGATTTTTTTTTTGGGGGGGGGAGGGAGAGGAGAAACTACTGGATTTGGATGAATGTTTACATCTTTTTTTTTTTTATTTAATGTTTGAATGTGTTTGCATGTACACTTCTACCTCCAGCTTGCCCCTCCCGTGCTCCTGAGCCCAGACCCCCTTGACCCACCGTTTTGGTTAAGGGGGAATTTCTGATAGTTTGAATTTTGAAGCATACTTTCCCTCCCGTAGCCCTGGTCTTCCATTAATTCAGGTGGTTGTTCTCCTGAGCTGTCGGAGGGGGTCTTCAGGACACCAAAGGATGAAATGATATTCCGGATCCTGAGCCTCAGCATCCCCCTCCTCAACCGCGTCCCACTCCAACAGCGCCCATCTTCCCATATTCAATCCTGCCCCATAGTCGCCACATCAGTCTTTGAACTTAGGGACAACGCTTCGCTGCTTTTGGCGTCCGCCGGGTGACACACTCCCAGTCCTTAACTAGCGTCCGGTAGCCTCGAGGCTAAAATCTAGACCAAAGTACCCAGTCAACATTTTAGCTGCCTAACTGCTAGAGGTTACTTATCTCCTGGGGTGGGGGTGGGGGAGGAATGGGTGGAACTAGATTGAGCTTCACCTTAGGGACCTTTTTAATATCGAGACAACCTGAGCCGCTAAGGTGAAGTAGAGGGGGAGAGAAGGAAGCGGCCAGAAAGCCCAAAGAGATTTTTCCCAATCTGTGGCAATTAAGGGAGCCGCTCCACTCCGCAAATATCAACTTCCCCAAGGAAAAAAAAAGTGCACACCAAAAAATCCCTTAGCATTCAAACTTCAACCACCACAAAACCCACCTTTCTCCTCGAAAACCTAGACCCAAACCCAAATCACAGGCAAAACCTAAATCCAATCTTTTAAAAACACCGGGTCTTTTTAGTAATCCCACGCAATCCCCAGTACCGGGAAGCTGATATTTCACTAGGTTCATGCCCATCAGTCAATCAATCAGGAATCAACCTAAGGGGTGGGGGTTAGGGAAGACTGTGTCCTGCTCTACTCCGACTGTCAAACTGCTTTTCTGCGTAATGGACTGATTTTAAGCCAACTCCAGGATGCAGCACCACTGGGATGATTTCACTCCGACAAACTGCGAGTTGTAATTTTTCGCTGTCGCTGGGTCTCTTTCTCCCAGTTTTATCTACCTTCTATTCTCTACACCTGCCTCTTCCCCATTCCCGACCTCGAGCCTTGTGCCATGCACAACTGGGGTTGAGCCCACCTTACTGACAATATCATAGGGTTTATTAGCACTGGAAGACACTTTTAAGAATTCAGCTAGCCCCAAACTCCTACCTAGGTCTGGAATTATCCTAAAGTTCCACTTCGACACCTCTAGAAGATGTCAAATAAATAAAATAGCTTTGTTTTCTCTGTCCATAAATCATTCCCCCAAACCCAAAGATAGAAAAGTACAGCATTGGGGACACCTAGCTAATTTCCCACTCGTTGGGAAAGTTTTCCCCTTGTGGTCCCCTCCCTTCCCTGGTAAAAGGTTTCTGAAAGACTGCTAGGGACTAGGCTCAATTTAAGTCAAGGCTGGGTGCAACAGAGTGGGCGGGGCAAAAGTTGCTTACAGTTATTTCTCCACACTTGTTAACATTAGTTTAAAAAAGAACCCCCCCCCCCAACTTTCGAAGAACCTGCAAGTTTGTACACTTGGACCAATAAAAAAAAATTAAATTACTTGAAGAGCGAAGGAAGCAGCCAACCGACAAAAACCAAAACCAACCAGTCACATCTCGTACTTGTCAGTTTCACCGCTGGCGATTTAAACTTTCAGTTGCTAGTCTATAAAGAGGACCTAAAGAGAAGGAGGAAGGGGGAAACTGGGGTGGGGTGGGAGCGGGGGATGGGAGGGGTAGAAAGGAGTGGGTCGGGCAAGTGGGCGGGTGGAGGGAAAGGGAGCTTATATTGTTAACGCAGGCCAGTTGGTTTAAGAAATTTTGCAACCGCTGGAAAAGGTCATTGAAGGAATTGAATGCAAAAAAAAATCATCTTAAAAAAGAGTGCCGGGCATGCGCAGAGGGAGGATGCCATATTGGAATGAGTCTGTAGTGAGAGAGCGGGAGGGAGAGGAGAGAGAGAGCGCGAGCGAGCAAAGGGAAGGAGAGAGAGCGAGCTAGAGAGAGAGAAGGGAGAGCGAGAGAGACGGGGAGAGGGAGAGAGAGACACACACAGATCGCCTTTTCACAACTGAGCTGAGGGGGGCTTTGCCCTTTTAGAGACTGGGAAAAAAAAAAACAAACTTCATCCAGGTAAGACGTCGCTCCGGGCGCTGCTTCTCTAGGCGTCCCACACTTAGCATGGTTAAGGAAATCTCTGGCTGGCAGGTTGAGCGCGCCGATTAGCAGATTTCCCCCCCCCCCCAGTTTAGCGAAAAAAAAGGGTGAGGGTGGGGGGGGTGGAAAGGACAGCTTTTGGGCAAGGGGCAAAGGCTATGCATGGAAGGAAACCATCCCAACCTCAAACTCTCAAACTCTCCTTGATTGCTTTTCTGTAATGGTTTTTTAATTTAAAAAATTTTTGCTCCTCCCCCACCCCCCCGAAAAGCGAGGATGGGAGTGCAGGAGATCCAAGCACCCTAGTTGTAAAGTGCCTCGTTTTGTAAACTGCGTCTTCCTCACCCTCTTATCTGGCCCCTTTACACCTTTATTGGTGAATGCCCTTCTTTTTGCACTTGGCACCACCATCCTTTTGCTTCTTCCAAGGTTCCTCTTTTGTGTTTTTTTTGGGGGGGCGTTGGGAACAACAGCAGGGGAAGGTGGGGGGCGAGGATGGTTGGGAGGACAGTTAGTGCATTTATTTATATATGTGTACACATATACATACATCTGCATTTTTTTTTAAAGTAGTGTTGGGAAGGATTTGCATATGTAGCTAAAATGAAATTACCACTAGTTCTGGAGGGTGCTTTGGAATGGATGGGCTCTCCTTTTTTCTTCTATTTTTTAAAAAAGTAATATCCTGTCATTTGGGGCTTTCCTGTTCATGTGACTTTCTTTCGAATTGACTAGACTTGATCTCTCTGTAGTCTAGAGTTTATTTTCTTGCTTTTCTTGGTGTTTTCCCCCTCCCCCTCCATCAAGCAAAAAACTGCACGAACTGTTTTATTTATTTATTTTGATAAGGGGTGACCGAAGGGGGTGAGCAGTGGAAGGAGGAGGGGTGTGTGTGTGTGTGTGTGTGTGTGTGTGTGTGTGTGTAGGTGCATGAGATGTTGGACAGATATCTAGAGCCTGATCCTTACGTATTTTCTCCGAAGCTCTACAACTGCGGTAAATGAATATTTATAAATCTTGTCAGTTTCAACATGGCGGGCTAAGGTGAATTTTAAAAACTGAAAATAAAGATTTTGAGGTGGGAAAAAACCCAACCGGAGATGCCACCGCCTAGGTTCTACTCTCTTTGGTTACCCCAGGAGGTGTTTTAGCGAATTAAATGGGAAAGCAAGATAGGGGCGAGCCTGCCCTAGTTTTTTCCGCGGTAAAATTCTTAGTGTGTAAAGTCCATTACAGGAAGGGAAGGGAAAGGAAGGGAGGGGGAAAAGAAGGCAGCGAAGTTCCCTCCTCTCATTCGGGGTGTAAAAATACATGATGATGGATGAAATCATTTATTTTAGATGTACATGAGATAACTTCGTCACGCCCCCCCCTTCCTCCTTTCTGTGTTTATGTTGTGGTCTTTTCGCTGTCAAAGGCTCTCAGTAGGTGGAGCAAGGAGGTCCCTATTCAAAAAGGCTAATTGTCCGGTGTATGATGCAGTTGTGGTTGGAGACGCTGGTGGCTTTTCTCCCCCTTCTTCCCCGTGCAAGGAGGCATGCTGTGTTAAGAATTGGACTGCTCTTTCTTTTCTATGTGTGGAGGCGGATTGGGGGTGGAGAGGAGAGTAATGTTGAGTATAGAGCATCAGAGAATGACAGGACCTTAAAAGCACAGCGTCGAGGATGCTGGGCAAGGAGTTTATTCCTGGTTACTTTTTGGAGATGCGCTTTCTGGAAGTCAGGAGATGTAGAGGGAGAAAGGTGTACATGCAAGAATAGGATACTCTTGTATATAGAGTGCTTGGCTTTGGTAAGGTGTGATCCAGGGGTCAATGGGGAAGGGGAGGGATGGAGGAAGGGGGTCGTGTCTTTGAAATTGCAGGTTTGGTGTCTCGGGGGTGGTTTGGAAAGAGGGTGATGAATGCTAGAGCATTCATTCGGAAGAATAGGATACACCCCATGGGGGTTGTTCAGTCACCCCTGGGAAGGGACTGGAAAAGGAGTCCCAAATTTGGGGAGGGACATTCTTTAGAGTTAAGAGAACCAGAGAGAGAACAAATACAGAAATAAACCTAAATTATGGGGAGGGGGAAATGCAAAAAGTGAACTAGCCTAGTGATTTCTTCTGCCGGAGAAGGTGCCTCAGACCTTAACTGTGTGTGACCTTGGGCAAGTCACCCACCCTCTCGATGCCTCAGTTTCCTCCGATGCAAAATGAGGGAGTTGGGCTCAGGTCCCTTCCAGCTCTGAGCCTATGATCCTCTGATCCTTCCTGCCACACCGATAGGGGTCGCCAAGAGTCACCATGCAGCGACCGCCGCGCCGCGATTGCTTAGTGTAGTAGCGGGAGAAATCCTTCCCCGAGGGAGTAGGGGCAAGGTTAGCGCTTTAGCGTAGGGTAGGGGGAGGGAGAGCGGAAAGAAGAGGGAGGAGGGCGTAGACCAGCGAGGCTCTGCCTTCCGCAGTGTCTGCAAACTTAACCAGAGCGGAGCCGGGCGCACCGTCGTGCAGAAGTGAAAGTTAGTGCATTTAATTGTTTATTTTTTAAAAATAGGTTTTTGAAAAAATATGGATATTTTGGGCAGGGTTGGGAGTAGAAACAATAATCTGGTCTTTGGGCATTTTGAGTGCCGTGGAGGAGGGATCGATCCAGTCTATTCTTTCTCCCTTTTAAACGGATGCTTACATTGTGTGAAAGGTCCTTGCAATTCATTTGGTTCCGGGGGTCTTTTGGGAGGGGGTGGGGGAGGGAGAAATGGGGACTGTGGGCGTGCGTGTGTAATGTGTGTGTTGCAGAGGTGGTGGTGGTGGCGGCGGTGGAGGAGGGACAAGCTAGGGAATAGGGAAGGAGCGTAATTTCAGCCCCATCGGGATTGCAGGGGCTGGGAGTTGAGAAAAGCCTAAAATAAGAGTTTTGGTAACGGGGAAAGCAGCCCTGGCTCCTTCCCCGTCCCATCTTTCCCCCTTCTCTCCGCCCCTTCTTCCACATTGCCTGTGGGAAACAGAGGAGGCTTTGGTAAAGTAGGAAACCAGCCTAAAATGGCTCTTTGCTCGTAAACTGCAGTTTCAGCCGGGAACACCTCCCCTCCTCCTGACGTCGCTTATGACAAGCAAAGAATTAACTCCAACTCCACGAAACCTGCAATTTTTTTTTTTTGCATCGTGGTTGAACAGTGGAGGTGAAAATGCATTCGTGCGTGTTTATCAAACTCCTTAGGATACGTGTGCATGTATGTGTGGGTGGGTGGTTTTGTGTGAGAGTGTGTGTGTGTGTGTGTGTGTGTGTGTGTGTGTGTGTGTGTGTGTGTGTGTGTGTGTGTGTGTGTGTGTACTTTTCTTTCTTTTGGGAGAAAGAAAACCAAGGGGTTGGTTGTGAAGAAGTCGGGCCAGACCCACCTCCTCTTTAACTAAGCTACCCTGAGAGCCAGCTCAGCTGTTTCTTTGACTGGCAAGGTTACTAACCAACGGGTGCCAATAAATGGATTAAATGACGTGGAAACGGGGATCTTTACGAGCCGAAGAGCTCTCCTACCCCCTTGATCCCTTACCTCGGGCCCCCCCATCCAGTCTCCCTACCCCAGGGCACCAGGACTTGGTTTTTTTTGCAGCTGGGGAGGCCACAGGTGACATTCAAAGCTCAAGGGAAAGGGGGGGGTTCCCAGGGAAACAGGAAAGAGCATCCCCAAACTTCTTACAGTTTCGCTTTCAGAATTCGAATCCCTCGTTGCCTCCAGGATCTTTTATTTTCAGGCTTAAGTGGGGGCTCTAGGGAGGAGGAGAGGCATCGGACATTAAATTTTGATGGGGGTGACTTTTTTGGGGGAAATTTAAGTAGATGCCATTCTTAACAAAAGCCCTGCTCTTTACACGAACTTTTGCTTCTCCACCTCTTCGGATAAGCCCTGCCGTCATAGATGTATATTTTTTCCTTTGGACTGCGTGCCCCTCTCCTCCCCAAGCCCCCTTTGCCTGGCGCAAGGACGTGGAGAGGAGACAGCCCCCGGCTCCAAGGAGAGTCTTCCCCCGCACCACGTTTTGTCAGTTTCAGCAGTAGCGCAGACGCGGCTGAATCCGAGCGGATTGGTGGGAAACCGATTTCCTACGTAGGGCCGAACCTGCTTTAATCGGGATCAATCGCTTACCCTCCCCCTTTCCCCTAATATGCCTCTAAGCCAGTAGCGATTTGGGAACTGAGAAGGCGAAGCCTCTGTCCTACACACCAAGTAAATGGATCAGTCTTTTCATCCAGGTGGAAAAGCCAGCGAGGGGGCTTAAATCTGGTATGCTTTTTACAGGGGAAGGAAAAGGGGGAGGGGGTGGGGGAAGGGGAGAGGGGAAAGGTTGGGGAACTTCCCTGAGCCCTGGGAGCTGGGGAATACGCCCTTGGCTAGTGTAGGAGGTGTGTTACTCCTCCCTTCCCCACCCCTCTTTAGCTCTTCCATTTGACACCCTGTCCCACATATATATACCTTCCCTAGAAAAAAAAAATTGGTTTCCTTCCACCACCCACCCTCTCCTCCCCAGCACTAAGCTGCCCTACAGAGTATATTAAATCTGTGGTCTGGGCTGATAGAGTACCATACTTTAATAAGATCACGAATCCCACCCAAACTGAGAACATGACAGTCCCTGGAGGCCTTAAATTTGTGATCTTGAAGCCCCTTGGATTCTGTGCTGTTTCTGGCAGAAACACCCTGGAGAAAACTCAGACCCCAGGGCTTGGTAATGGTGGGAACTCGAATCATCTCTCATCCCCCGACCCTTCTCTTCCCCACCTCCACCAGTGTTTTTGAATAGCTGAAGCTCCCCATCTAGGGCTTACTGTACCTATAATAGGCTGTCCAGCTGGGAACTGAAATTCACCAATGTTGAAGAGAAATTGATTGGAAAGAGTTTTTCATCCTCACCTTTTCTTGAAGCAATTATGGACTAATTTTTGAACTCTTCTGGCTATAAATAACCCTGGGCTTAGTGCTTTTTTTTTTTCTTTTTGAA